TCTCACTGGAAACAAGTGGATAGCCGTAGCCACTGATTACGCCACAAGATACGCTATCACACGAGCGCTACCGACAAGCTGTGCCACTGACGTCGCGGACTTCTTGCTTCATGATGTAATTCTTCACCATGGCGCTCTTCGACAGCTTCTGACTGATCGTGGTCGCTCATTTCTTTCAAAAGTAGTAAGTGACATCTTTCGCTCGTGTTCAACGCGTCACAAGCTCACTACGGCCTATCACCCACAAACAAATGGTCTTACCGAGCGCATAAATTGAACCTTGACAACAATGATCTCCATGTACGTTTTTAAAGATCACCTTGATCGGGATAGTACTTTGCCTTATGTGGCATTCGTGTACAATTCGTCATGCCACGACACCGCTGGCTTCTCCCCTTCTATTTATTGTTCAGCCGCCATCCAGCATTACCCTTCGAGACTCTTCTCCCATCAACTTTGCAAACGGTTACAGAGTACACCCGGGGTGCCACTGCTCGGGCTCAAGTGGCCCGCCAAATCGCACGGGAATGTCTTCTTGGCTCGCAGCTCTCTCAGAAGGCGCGCTACGCTAGCCATCACAGAGTAGTTTCCTACTCTCCAGGTTCATTGGTCTTCCTGTGGACACCATGCCACCACGTTGGCCTCTTTTCGAAGCTCCTGTTTCGCTACTCGGGGTCTTACAAGGTTTTGCGCCGCCTTATCGAGGTCACATACGAGATCGCTCCGTCGGACAGTCAGTCGTCGTCGCCCGCACCCGCTACTGACGTCGTCCACGTGACCCGCCTCAAACCCTACATATCCGCATATGATCCTACTCTCCTTTAGGCGCCGAGACGGCACTGCCAGCGGCGGGTGGTTTTTTGTTACACGATATCGGCAACGAAAAAGCATCATAGACGACGAAGACGATGAAAGTGACCGTGCTCGTGTTGTTGCTGTCGGGCCTCCATCTTGGCTACAGCTGCCTCTGACTCTCCCTGCATATTTTGTAAATATATTTATTTCATTCATTCTCTCACCCCCATGACAGTATGAATTGAAAGCATGCTACAAATCACAGGCGCTCAAGGGAGAACCATCTGGTAAACATTGGTGGGGCAATTCGTTTGAAGGCTCAGGAGATATCAGCTTGCAAAATTTCTTTGGGTTGTCTCTTAGGAAGTTGGGCATGTCCGTGTCAAAAACTAATTTTTTGCATCTTTGATCTTTTGCTTACAGGTGTTCGCCATGTTAAAGTATTTAGTCTAATCGTCGTCTCCTTTGGTGCGATTAACTTTAGCCGACAAGCGCTTTTTCTTATTCAGAGAACGCTTTACATCTGTAGTAATCCATTGTTTGTGTTTAGTTTCAACGATAAGTCTTTTTGGAACTTGTATTTCCTGCAGCCTTTTCACATGATTCTGAAACGACCTCCAGTTTCGTGAACAGATCGATCAGCATATGTTAACAAAACTGTGCGTAGAATTTTTTCATTTCGTTTTTTACCTTATCTAGGTCGACTTTAGAAAAGTCGTGAATCTCTTTAGTACGAGACTTTTGTTTTTTCATTGTTGTTTTAATCACACAGTGAATGACTTTGAGGTCACTGATTTGTTCCAGGACAGTTGCAGTAACTTTATTGGCATGTGTTGTAATCAACAAGTCAAGGATCGAATCCCCATGTGTAGGCGTATGTATCAGTTGCGTCATTTGAAAAAAATGATAACATGTCAATGAAATCTTGGCATTTGCAAGTTTTACCTTTATTGCTTGATTGTGAAGATAGCCAATTTATACTGGGGTAGTTAAAATCACCAGCCATCAGAATATTCACATCAAATTTGCTTTGAATGTAAGCAATGATATCGGTAAGTTGTTCAACAAAGTTGTCGTGATAATTAGGGGGTCTATAACAAGTACTTATTACAAGCGTTACATGGTTCAAATAGCATACGACCCATGCGGTTTCTAGAGGGCTGTCAATAAGAATAGGCTGTGATCGAATGTTTTTTTACAGCGATAAGCACGCCACCTCTTTTTTCAATGACTCTGTCTTTGCACGACACAGAAAACTTGTTAGATATATGCAGTTCGCTGTTTTCAATGTCGGGGTTTAACCACGTTTCTGTACCGATAATAACATCAGCTGAGCACGTGTGAATAACGTCGTCGAGCTGGTCCTGCTTTTGCACGGTACTGCGGAAATTAGCATAGATTATTGAGCAGTTTTGTATCTGAGTTGCTTGAGAGCTGTCAGGTTATCAGGGCGATCTTTTTTCTGAAGTTATCGTGCATACGTTGTCAGCAGAATTATCATATTGGTAGCATCTGCCTGCTAGAGCGAGTGTATCGAAGTGAAGCTTCGTTTTCTCGTTTTGGCGGCAATTTGTGCGTGCTTAGTCATGAAGCCTCCTCCGGGCTAACTGAATGCGCGGTGAAAAGTCTTCTTCAATTCTGACTAATCTGGATTTTAAGTTTTTTTAGTCAGAAGGCATTGCCAAGGACTTGGGTTTTTGTTTTGTAACTAAGGAATTTAGGAATGAGGGGACGGTTATGTCCTTCTTGAAGGGGGCCAATGCGATGTCATTGATTTGAAGGCCCAAATGGTCCTTGGAAAAATCAACAACCAGCGATTCCGATACTTCATGTTTCTATTTCCTTTTCTGGTATCCCTTTGAATATCAAGTTCTTGCAGTGCATCCTATTATTCATGTCATCGACAAGCTGAACCAAATTTGCTTGAGTAGCATTGTTATTTCAAAAAGTCGAAAGGTCATTTTTTATGGCATTGATGGATTCTGTGACATCAGGTATGGAAGTCGTGTTGCTAAGCAACTCACCAAGCACAGTTTCCACTTTAGTAAGCCTTTTCTTGATGTCGATAATACCTGCGTGAATGTCTTTAACTCTGCCCGACATTTCCTTCTGAAACCTTTCCCGTGCTAAGTTAGCCTCCTTCACGGCATCAAGAATCTGGTCCATCTTATCAGGCCCTGAATTCATTTCAACGTCACCAGCACACACAAGAAGCTGAGCAAGACAAAACAGTGCATCAATGATTCGCCCGCAAGGGCAGCACTTCAAGAGCAAGGCAGCAACATTGCGAAATCGTGGACGCACCTTGGCCCCATGAAGCACCTTTTGGATAAAGGAGCCTATGCGACATCGGTACTGAGCTATATCGATACCTGTTTGGTCACAATGTCACGGCAAGAAAAAAAAAACAGATCAGGGGGATTTACGGCAAGAAATGACACTCGGAGCTAAAGTGTGAAAAGCTACTGCTTTTCCATTCACCTTCCAGAATGCAGATTTTGTTTGAGAGCATGCACAGGCTGCAAAATCCCGTTGTGCACAATCAGCAGGTCCTTTTTGTAGCTGGACTGACGTTGGAAGCTGGTGCATGATGTCCTATGCACGTTTAATGCACACTGTTTTATTTCTTACAGTGAGAGTGTGTTTCCTTGACTGGATCTTGGAAAAAAGCAGTCAAGATAGCATGGGAAATTCGGGAGGTGTATTTCATGCCAATATAAAGGAGTGATTGTACAAGCGAACTTCAGTCACCCTGTATGAGTCGGAAAGTGCAGTATTGAGAATGTGTCCTATAGTGTGATTAAGTAGGTGATCACACACACACGTAGCACTTGCGTTTGCGTTGAGTGGATTTTTGTTTGCCTGTATTCCTGAACGAGTGAACAGTTCTAAGTTAGTGCCCATCCTGTCTATGTGTTTTTTCGTTTTCAGTGTGGTCGTGATTGTGGTATGAAATTGGCTATTGAATTTTACTGTACACACTTTTACAAAAGTTAACTTGGAATTGAACTATTGCTTGGGTGGCTTCAAGTCCTTGTATTTGAGCCGTGAATTCATGCTTTGTACAATCACGCATGAAGTGCACGGAATAGTGAAAGAATAGTGAATAGTAAGTTCTAATTCTTTGATGGGTGAAGCATATGCATACGAATAGAAACAATGGACATTTGTTCAGATCGAATGGTGCAGAGTATCTTTCTTTCCATATTTGATGTGTCTTTTTTACTGTTAGGAATTTGTCAGAGCACTGCCTTGTTTTGCATAAACGGGTGGTCCTGAACAGCAAGTAGTTACAGTAACCAGGTTGTCATTCTAGCACACAATATAAGAACCTTTACAATCGCACAGCACATTTTCTAGGAAGCACAGGAAATGCCTTCTATTTTGAAATGATCCCACTTCAATCAGGCTAGATGAATATTCAATCATAGGTCTCTCACTTGGAAGGTTGCAATCCTTTCCTGTACGAAATGCGTGCTGTCATTTTTAGCACACACGATTGTTTCATAACAAGTAAAGGGACAGGGCCATTTTTTTTTTTTTTTGTGTGTGACACCTTTGTTTTTTCTCATGATTTCCTGGGTTAATGAACACAATTTTAAGAGCTCCTAAATATACAAACTTTGGTGGGCTTTTCAAATGTATTCCGTGAATGAGTATTAGCAGAAAGTAATGCCATTTCTGCCACTCACAAGTCGGCAAGATTCATGTCTGTTCTGCATGCAATAAACAAGCAGAACACTAGTTGCCATGACGACAAGACTTTTTGCGTTCTTTTCAATTTTTGCTTCTATGTTGCATGACCTTGTAGTTGGATAAGACTATAATGATTGGTCTACGTTAGGGCTTTGCACAGTGATTGTATCTCAAGTGTTTGTGGTGGTATTCTCACCTGCAGTCTTTAGGTGTGGCGACATGACAAGAGTGTATGATATATTTTCTGCCATGCTGCAGCCTGAAATGTTGGAGTCTATTTTTCACGTCACCTATTGGCAATAAAGTTACCTACAAAAGACGGCAACTTCATCACTGCAGCAAGAAGGAAAAAAAGTGAAATGTATAATTGGTTTCCAATCAGTACTTTTGGTACAGTTGGGGCATCACACTGGTTTGTGAGTTAGCTAATATAGGTTGGGGAGTGATGTGTTGAAAAGGGAACCTCTACAGCAGCTGTAGTTGATCTCCGTACATGATGGTTGTCGCAGGGGCTGACTGGAAGGAGCGCTCACCCGCTCCTGGTGACAGCGACAGGCAGGCGGTGGGTACACTACTCATCCACTTGACAGTACGATGAAAGCATGTGGGTATCTGCTATGGCATTTGATCATATCATGTGAACTGCATAGGCCTGCAACCTAATGCCCATAATTGGTGAATGACTTTTCTTTCATGAGTCACTGCGTCATCTGCAGCAAAGAGCTCCCGTTATTGCAGTGGTGGCAGAATTCCAAGGCCCAGTGTGACAAGTGTGTTTGCGAGAGGCACCAATGTGTATCATAGCTTTGTGGCCTTCAATATTTTTTCTGAATGCTTGTTATTCAAAGGAGATTACATATTTTTTGTTGTCATATACATTCAGAAGTTTCATTTCTCTACTTTCACAACAAAAAATCAGGGCTGCAAGTGCTGCGCTATTTTGTGCCAATCTGACTTGCTGCACCCACATGGCAATTCCCATGTACAACGCCAAAATTAGTCTAGTTTTATCATCGCATGGGCTGCAAAACGATGCAACCGTATCCATGGTTGTGTTCCAATTTTAAGACAGCATCATATAAAGTCTACACAGACAGCTTAGAGGATAGCATCAAGCCCATGTTGTCTGAGAAATCGAACACGTAGAGAAGGCTGGATGGATAAATGGATGCTATTAGCATACCCTATATAACGGGTCAGGGACTTGTGTGCCACCAGACTCACAAGGAAAAATAAAATAAAAAGAAAACCTTCTTTTTATATTGGCCTAATGCCTTTTTAACTCGATTAAATCAATCTTATTATAACAAGGAAAAATATAAATTTATGTTCCATCTCCCAGCCTCTTCAGGCAGACGAGGTGCCACCTCACGTTGAGAACAGAAATATAAAATAAACAAATAAGCCTGTTATTTTTTCCAGCTTATTTCGTGTTCAAATCTTAAAAAAAAAAATTGAACATTACTCACATTGAGCATCTGTAAAATCTCTAAAAGTGTATGCTTGAGTGCAGACAACAACACAGGCGATATCCAAGCTTTTCGAGCAATTCGCTGAGCCGCCATCTTGTGTGGACAGCAAAGTAGCCTGCATCGTATTTGTTTGCGATGCGGTCTTCTTGAAGCTGTCTATTTGCCAGCTACGTGAAAGTTTGAATCGGACTTAAGAAGGCCGCCGTCAACTTAGCTGTCTATTTAGCTGCCTACGGTTAGTATTGGAACACACACCACGTCAAATTAATTCAGTCACGTGGTATTTCGGTTTATGCATAAATCTTGTTTAAGGTGGCATTTTTATACATAGCTCATTACGCGACTCTATATATGTTTTAACAGCAAAGCTGATAGGCAAACTATAAAGACGACGGCGTTGTTGTGAAAACCTCGCTGCTTCATTGCCAAAAAACCGCTGAGCACCTCACGCGCTCTGCGATGGAAATTGTCGAACCATAAAAACTGAAAAAAATAAAGATCAATTTCACCGGCAAAGCAATTACTGCAATACAGTGATGGAAGTGTTGCTCCAATTTCTCTAAACTGCTCCAAAAGAGAAATGCTACTTCATGCTGCTCCAAAGTGCAATATTCGCTAGTGACTGCTCCAAACCTGTTCCGAAACGATGTTAGCAAACTAAAAAATTACAGCATATCCACGAACTGAATGATGATCAGTGGGCCGAAGTGTCCGTCCGGATATGTCCACGGTGGGTCGATAATGTTCGTCCGTGCGTCTGTCTGTCTGTCTGTATGTCTGTATGTCCGTCCGTCTAGTGAACACTCCAAGTACCACCATCTCGCATCTTTTCATCATATATTGATTATATACAAGTAGTGCCATATAGCGGACGTTCCAAGAACTAAACGAAAGGTGGCTGCCTACTACATACATCAAGGACGCACGGTTCTCTCCTGGGGCACACACGTGCTCTCTTGGGTGTGTGCCACCTGTTGTTACAAATAGGTGTGTGCCACCGGTGGTTACAAACGATAACGGGGTCAAATGGGTGATGCCTTAAGAAGCTTCGACCTTAAAAGAATGAAGTTGAACCCTGTGACCATCCAGTGAACCTAAACTAAACCAAAAGTGAGCTGTTTACACTATCGTCCTAGTATTCTACTCAGTGACATAAATACAGAAAAATCTCAAGGATATATCAGGCCATGGTGTCCAATTCATATATTTATATGCATTGTATTTTTTATTTATATAGTAATTAAATCACACTTTCAAATAAAATTAAAATAAATGACCAAGGGTTCCGAGCTCGAGCAATCGCATTGTTCTATTCAGTCTCTTTTTTCATCTTTTTTTCGATTTTCATACTTCACACAGCTGAGGGGCATTTAACACTGGTACCCATCCCAGCTGGAAAACATTTCCAGTCTCGGCTGGATTATGATACGGAAAATGGTTTCCAGCCCGATTTTTCCGGGCCGAAAATAGAAAGCGTTCTGGCCCGAAATGGAAGCCGTTATGGCGGGGAATGGAAATCATTCTGGTCGAAAATAGAAATAATTCTGGCTGGAATTATAAGCGGTTCTATCTGATAATCAGAATCCTTTCAGCCAGAAATAAAAGCGGTTCTCGCTGCAAATAGAAGTCATTCCAGCCGGAAACGTGTAGTTTTTATGCAGAAACTGACAGTCGTTCTGGCTAGAAATTGGGGGCACTCGAAATCAAAAAGCATGATGTTCTCAAGGAAAAGGTGCCTGTCCTGATGCAATAAGGTGGTCATGTTTTAGCAAAATATTTACTGCCTTCGATATTAGTCTTTTGCCTGCTTCATATATCTTCTTTATATCTTCTGTAGCCCGTGGACAGCAATCGTCACACCTCAGGGCTTGGTCCTGCTCCACTAGGTCAGGCATTCTTTAAAAAAAAAAAAAAAAAAAAAAGAGAGAAAATACCAGATAAGCAAAAACAAAATGAAAATTCACCACATTCCCTCAAGGAATGGAACAACACATGCAGGGGCATAGGTACAAATTATTTTCGAGGGGAGGAAGGGTACCTCCTTGATCTGAAATGGAGGCCCAGCCGGACGATGTGGTTGAGTGTTATTGTGCCCTGTATACCACGGCGAAAAAATTGGGGGGGGGGGGGGGGGGGGGTACATGTCACACCCTGGCTGCGCCACTGGTGCTCACCATTTCCAACTTGTTTCTTTTTTGTGTGGGTATGAGGCGATTATTTATTTTGAGCTTAGACTACTCCTAATAGACGTAAAATGAATTAACCAAAACATATGTAACTACCGGCGTTTGTTGCATAGGGGCATGCCCACCGTAGGATTATTGGAGACAAAGGCTGCTTACACAAATCAATCGCTTATATATAATTGCATTCAGTCAGATAGCATGACAGCATGATTAATGAAGCCCATGCACATTCGGGCCAAGTGTTCACTTATACTCGGAATATATAAGTGCAACACTTGCCTCCAATTGGAAGAATCAGAGCTGAGAAAAGGACCATCTCTTGGTCGGCGCTCACGTATCCAAACATCGCACCAAGTAGAGCAATAAAAACCACTCAAACATGCTGGGCATCACTTGCAACAGTTTCCAGAGATAAAGTTGACTAAAAAATACCTATTTCATTTAACATTCACATAGGGACACTTCACAGAAACTCACTAGAGTAGTGAACATCGAGCGCACACATGTACAGATCGTGCTACGACTAGCCGCCATGTTCTCTGGCCATATGCTGTAAAAAATGTGTGAGCTTAATGATATATACAGTGTAATGAACCACTGTATTTGATTAATTTACTATTAAAATAAAGAATACAATTTTTTCATGCATTATTTATAATATTGTTACGGGGCAGTGGGCATGGCTCCACCATCGTAGACGAATCGATGAAAAAGAAGTGGACTCGGCGCGCGAGATGCTAGCAGCCCAGGGTTGTCACACCTACCTTTAAATATTGGAAATACACTCGTTTCTCTCTTCTGTGCACTTGTAATTCCCGTAACGAATTGGCAGACGTTCTCGGTGACGGAGCGCTACACAACGGAGCTCCACAGTGGTCGTCAAATCGGAGTTTCTATGATGGAACACCAGACTGATCCCACGGCCACCTCTCCATCAGCCTCGGCAACGCCTGCACCATCCATGGCAACGCCTCCACCGGCCCCACCCCCACCCATGTACCTGCTGAGGTATCCGAAGCATCCAGGAACGTTCTGCGGTACGGACGAAGTTGATGTTGACAATTGGATAGCTGACTACGAACATACCAGTGCGCTCAACCGGTATGAGCCAACTCTCATGCTGGCCAACGTGCTGTTTTACCTGAAAGGCATGGCCAAAGTCTGGTACGAGAACCATGAGGAGGAGATCAGCAGTTGGGACACATTCAAGGAAAAGCTTTGCGACTTATTCGGGACACCCATCGGTCGAAAGGCGGCTGCAAAGAAGGAGTTGTCTATACGTGCTCAGATATCCACAGAGCCGTATATCTTGTATATACAGGATGTGCTGGCTCTATGTCGTAAAGTCGACAACAACATCTCGTTGGTCACATAAGGTTGGCCACGTCCTGAATGGAATAGCAGACGATGCGTTCCACCTGCTAATGTGCCGGAACTGCGCGACTGTTGAGGAAATTATTCAGAAATGCCAGCGTTCTGAACTGGCCAAAAGCAGGCGTATTTCAAGATCATTCACTCGACTGCCGAACACCACTGCGACGTCTTCCTGCGAAGATGGACTGACCTCTCGTCAGCAGTCTTCACCGGCGTCTGAAATTACGCGAATCGTCCGGTGGGAAATCAAAGCAATTACACCTGCTCTTCCCACCAACGGCCACGTCGATTCGCAAGTATCTCAGGTTTGCTTCGTACAGTCGATTGTGAGGGAAGAACTCGGCAATTTGGGCTTCGATGTCTGCGCCGTTGCTCAGTCTTGACCAATTTGGCTTTCGTTCAAGGTCGGCACCTTGTCCCAGGTCACCGCCCCAGGAACGGTCTTATCCTCGCTCTCGCAATCCGGCCGAATGGTGAACTGCGGATGATCGGCCAATCTGCTTTAACCGCCGCCGCATACGTCACGTCGCATGGTATTGCCACAACCATTGGTCTTCGTCCCGAACACAGTATAACAATGCTAACCACGCCGACAGCTGCCGCCTTTTCCAGCCTCCTAAGGTGATCCCCTACAACTACCGCCGCCTTCCACCCTTAGATGCGGATGATCTGAACTGCGGATGATCGGCCAATCTGCTTTAACCGCTGCCGCATACGTCACGTCGCATGGTATTGCCACAACCATTGGTCTTCGTCCCGAACACAGTATAACAATGCTAACCACGCCGACAGCTACCGCCTTTTCCAGTTTCCTACGGTGATCCCCTACAACTACCGCCGCCTTCCACCCTTAGATTCCTACGCCTTCGATGCCCCTGATACGCAGCACAGCCGCTCGCCATCGCCTCGACGTCATCAGTCTCATTCGCCGCCTGGACACCGCCCGTCGTCCCTTTCTCCTCTACGACGACGCCCGACTTCCCGCTCAATTCTCATCAGGGAAACTAAGCGGTGCAACTCTTAGAGGTGAAGCTGCATCCTCGATACCGACCTCAAATCCTCTCCTTGTTTTGCCGACACGACGAAATTTGATCGACGTCGACGTTGACGGCCTGACTGTTTCTGCACTTATTGACACCGGGGCGCATATTTCTGGGATAAGTGCCTGACTTCGTTGCCGCCTCAAGAAAGTTCTCACACCGGCTGCTCCTGGCATTATTCGTGTCGCCGACGGAAGAAGTCTTGCCATCACAGGAATGTACACAGCACGCATCACAATTGCTGATCACCCCACATCTGTTCTCTTTGCAGTTATTCAGCAGTGCCCCAGTGAACTGATTTTTGGATTGGATTTCTTGTCCGCTCATGCTGCTCTCATCGACTGTGCAACCGGCGTTTTTCAACTTGAACTGCCTCAACTTGGGGCTGTGTCGTCCTCATCGTCAGACCGCTTGTGCGCTGTTGATTACGTTCTGCTGTCACCGCAAGCCACCACGTTTGTGGCCTTAACGATATTACCAGCTCTTCCTGACGGTGATTACACAGTGTCTCCATTAGTGGATGTGCTCTTGGCCCAAAGTGTTGCTGTGCTGCATACCATCGTGACTAATGTGGACAACTACGTTCAGCTTCCGATCCTCAACTTTAGTAGTTCGACCAAAGTTTTCCCTCAAGGCATTTCGTTAGGCCATGTTTCCCCACTTGATGCATGTAATATCAAGGCATTAGACCCTGAAGACTGCTTGTCCCCTATTGCAGCCAACTCGAGCCGTCGAGTTGAAATAAGCCGAAGTGCGAGCGCCAATAGCGATTACATTTGATTAGCAAAGCTAGAATGGCCTAGGATATAGAAGCCGTAAACGTGAAAGCCCCCGGCATGCTGAATAGTTGGCGCCATCTAGCAGGGCTATAGTGAACCAGGTAATTACAAAATTGTTATTGCAGAAAGATCGTGCATTGTACGGCTGGTGCAAAAACAGCACAGTGACGTTATTACAAATGAGTTACTTTTTTAATCATTTCCATCTCAAAAGCATTAAGCGTAAGCCAACATGTTCACGACTGTGGTTCCACGAAGTGTCACAAGATGTCGACACCATCATTGCAATAACATTGTATTTTTCAGCATTTTGTGCATACAAGGATACTGTACACGATAAAAAAACGTTTGGTGATTTTGCCACAATGGTGATTCAATCCTATGTAAGTTAAATGCAATTAGCATCGCCATTTATGGTTTGCGAAAACGTAAAGGCCTAGACGTTTACATACTAACGTAAACGTTTATGTATGAGGAGCTACAACGTCAAAAAATTTTGCGTTCCGGTAAGACAGCAAACGCAAACCAGTATCCGGTAACATGTTAACATAAAAAAGTACTTGTACAAGCTATAACTCTCATTTTTTTGCGTCACATGCTTGTCAAAGGCCACGAGAGCGTAGGAAACGTACCAGTAAGTGTGAGTGCACCCTGAAAAATGAATTACAGCATGCTTTTAAAGGCTAGTGGTGGTTTCTAGTGTACCCTCACGTCATGACTTGGTATAAGCAGCACCACCACGCGGTAGTATGTGCACGCACAAGTTTTCTTGGCACATCCTCGTCTGCATGTTGTTTTTTCGATCGTCTGCTTTGTCTGCTGTGCGCCGCACATGAGGTAACTGTCGCGACAGGGGGGCACAATGTTGGGTTGCCATCACTTTTAAGCCACAGGTTCTTCATCAACAATTCGTAGTCAGTTAGCAACTGCATATTGTTGCTCATGTACGTGTCCGGAGGCAAGTGCAGCAGACAGAGTAAACAGCGCTTGGTTTCGGCTTGTCTCAGCACCTTATTGGGCTGGAATCGGTGGAACTTCCTACTACTGTCTTTCGTATCACTTGCGCAAGACAATCCGGGGGGCAAAATATTGGTAGCATGATGAAAATTCCGAAATTAAATCACTTATTTGCCCTCTGATAAACATATATCTTGAATTCGCATGCATGTACACTATTCCAGACTTTGCTAGTATGCTTCACAGGTATGTTGGATGACAGTAGGGGCTTTTAGCTTGCACGTATACTTCTTTATGTTAACGTGCTACCAGATACCACTTTGCGCTTACCGTCTTACTGGAACGCCTGTTTTTCAACGTTTTAGCTCTCCATACATAAATGTTTGCGTACATAAGCAAGCGTATGCTTTTATGTCTTCGCAAATTACAAATTGTAATGCTAACTGTATTTAAACTATTTTTAACTCAGATAGGATTGAATCACTTCTGAGGCGAAATTATGATGCGTTTCTTTATCAAGTACAGTATTCGTGTATGTGCAACAGGGTGAAGAAATACAAGGCTACTACTGCAATAATATCGACATCTTGTGAAACTTTGTGCAACCACAGTCATGAACATGTTGGCTTGCGCGTAATTTTTTGAGCTGAAAATGATTAAAAAGGTAACTTATTCCTAATAACACTGCTGCATGGCTCTACGCGAGACGTACAATGCACAATGTTTCAGCAATAAAATTTTTTTTATTTCCTGGTTCATTTTTGCCTTACTAGATGGCGCCACCCTTCCAGCAGTCGGTGGTTCACTTTGATGTTCTCGACTTTGATGTTCTAGTGCATTTTAGCTTTAATAATCCAGATGAAACAATGTAATCAGTATTGGTGCTCGTGCTTTTCGGCTTATTTTGACTCGATGGCTGGAGTCTTCGCAATGGGGATACCGGGAGTTCCTACGAACGAAAGTGGATTTGCAAGATAGGGCCGCAAACGTAAAGTATGTCTGGCAGGTAGATTACGTTGTGTAAAGATTTACGTTCTGTAAATACCTGCGTATGGGTAGGTTCTATTCAATATCCAGTAACATGGGAACATAAAGAACTATGTACGCACAAGCTAAATACCACCAGAGACTGCACAGCACGAGCAGACGATCGAGACGGCGACCCGCAAGCTGCCATATTTTGTGTTCTGGCGCTTGACGTCAGTGCAACTTGCCAGACTGCTGCTTGAAGTCACGAATATTTGTACTGTAGCCTGACGTCAAGTTAGTGTCGATGTGAATAGGTGCGCCGCGAGAGACTTGACTTTAATATCAAAATAAAACGTCCTATTAGCATTTGCTGAGTGCCACACTTGCTCAGAGTCGTCTATGTATACAGAAGATTTGTATGGCAGAGTAAACTCGCCTCTAAAAAAGTGTCAGTACCCCTTTAACCACAAAGCAGTGTGTACTGTTAAGGGGATCCTTCCTACATTGTTCAGTACACCCAGTAATGTGACGTGACAGAGTTGGTTTTAACCAGAGTTTACTGTGCACTGCTACATCATGATTCAGCAGGTGTATGTTTGTCATGTGCAGCTCCCTAGTGAAGGCTACCTGCAGGAGAAGCCGCCCAAGTGCCCCTCGCGCAGTGCATCAGCCACACTGCCATCATCACAGTCTGCGCTCCGGTCTAGCACACCACTGCAACTGTCGTCTCGGCCTAACAGCGACGATGGGTCACATTCGGTTTGTGTCTGTTCATTTATCGTTTCTGCATCTAGCCCACAGAAAAAGACAAGGACGCTGTGAAAGCTGATGATAACAAGTGCTATCTTGCAACATATTTGCAATTTAGTGCTTGTCAATGCCAGTTATTATACTGTTCTTGTCTTTTTCTGTGCGCTAGTTGCAGAAATAGAATACCAACATGTCCAAACTTACGTGTTCTCTAAGTCGTTGTCAACTATCTAGCTCTGTTTGTAGTTGTTTCAAGCAACATGACGCTCAAATATTTACTCCTTAATCTTGGTCACAGAGTCTTTTTTCATTAAATGTTCTAGTGATGTATTCATTCTTCATAAAAAGGAGTAGAAGTACACAGTGAAGAAAAAAAAAACACTTCCAAAATGGTCACAATACTTTGGTTTAGGCAATTCGGTCCATCATTTGAGAAAACTTGGAAAGCGCGAATGATGAAGACAGAACACATACAGGACTGGCACTTTGTCCTGGTGAATATGCTTCGCCTTCATCGTTTGCACTTTACAAGTTCTTAAAATTGTCAGTCACAACGAGCTTCATTGGGCGAACTCAACTGAGTCTCAGAGTACAATTTTGACATGCGCAGTCTTTAGTTGTAGGCAAAATAATCTGACCTGCAGAACTAGAAAATGCATATTTCAACATGATTAGTTATGCTTGCATACACTTGCAAAGGGAAACGACCATTCAGAGCTGAAGTAACACTTGCTGCTGTAGAATTGGTGACTACAATATGGAAATTTCATATCCTTAGTGGCATTTCTTGCATTGAGCAATATTGCTCTCTATACATGGCATGTAAGAATACTTTGAGACGCTCAGGTAAGGCAACCGCTTAATGTGCCAGACAGCACCGAGACAGCAGCTATTCGTTTTGGCAGAAGCAGCACGAGCATCGGCAACAACAAACGTCATCTTCGTCATTGCTCCAGCAGTGCCCGTATTTGTCACTACAGTTAGTGGCAGATTAAGATTAGAAAATTTACAGTCATTAGGTGCACTCTACTTGTGCAAGACAAGTGTAACTGAAGATCACTGGTAAAGGCATTTATCCTGAACAAAAAAAAATAAAAATAAAGGCAAATTTGTAAAGTGTGCCATGTGGGGATAATGTGATATGTTGCAAGTTTGCAATGTATGTGAAAATATTTTTGTGCTTACTGCATCTTCCAAGAATTTAGTTAGTTCATTGTACCATTTGGTACAAAGGTTTTGCAAAATTACAAGTTATGTGCTTAGTAATATGTATCAAAGTACAGGACATTCTTTTACTTGACGTGTTATATGTGCAGAAGAATTACGGAAATGCGATGTTTTTATTATCGCTAAGTAGCAAAATGACCTTTTGATAATTTGGAGTATGGTTCTTTCAAACGAATCACCAAGAAAAGTATAGATTGCAAAAACAGAAAAAATTTGTTTTGTTCTGTTAGTGCATTTTCAGTTGTATTTATAATTCAACAAACCAATTTAAAAAAACTGTGGTTTCAAAGAAGGATTATTATTGCATCCTCCTTGTGGCTATCTGGCAGTGAAAGGCATGAGGGTTTGGTGCCCCTTTGTGCATGCTTGTGAATGTGTTCGTGTGATGAGGCACATAGTACAGATGTGGGTGATTACTAAGTGAGGGCTCATGCTCATGTGGTACGGCTTTCCCACCCTTGTCATGACCGACCTACTGGCACAAGTGACTACTCTTATCAGCTAGATTACTCCTTGAAAAGCTTCTGTAACAGAAATTAAGGTAATTGCTGCTTTTAATTTCAGCTCAGCAATGTGCGGCAGTACAGCAACAGCCTGCCCCGCTCGCATAACCAGCAGGTGAGGCGCTCCGGAGAGGCCGCTGCTGCTGCTGCACCAGCCCCGGCGGCGTCATCCAAGGACGTCTTCCGCAGCCGAAAGAGTTCAACTGGTGTCTCCTTTGGTAAAGGCTTTTTCCGCTTGCGGTCTTCTCGCCGAGCCTGCTCTGCACCCGAACTAGGTGACGGCCTCTCTCTCTATCTCTCTCTATGACTTTTCAAGTTTGGGCACTTTCCACTCGTGCAACTGGCAGAAATCTATGCAGTGCTACCGAAATACCTGCCTGACCTCTTTTAGAATGTGGTCTTTGGCCTTTGGTCTTTGGTTCACCAACCATTGTGATAAACATTGCCCTGTCGCTGGAACAGATAACTGAGGGCAGCTGTATCAGAACATGTCAGAATATCTTTGCATGAAACAGGTGCTGGAATACTTCCTGAAGGGTTGAATGGGAACTACAGTTCTGAGACACTCGACGAGTGACTAGACTACATAGCCAGATGAGACAGTTTGAAGTCAAACGCGGAATTGCAACTAGAGTCAGTGTTTTGCCATAGGAACCTATTTTCATCTGGGCAGCTATTGCTTGTTCTCCTAACTTGTTCTCCTGTACCCTAAAGAGTGGATTTAAACTTACTCGTAAAAAAGTTGTGGGCCTGTTCATAAGGATGAGCTGAACTATCAGCGCTTGTCATGTCTGTCAGCTTGATGACATCACCCGAGAGTGTTGGAACTAGGCTTGGGGGTGGGGGGGTGCAAATAGGAAATTTTTAGGCTCAAAGTGAATAGTGATTCAGTTCGAATAATTTCTAATCAAATTAGAATATATCGCATATTATAAAGAAGCATGATGAAACTAACCTTTACGGAAGTTTTTTTTTAATTGAAACAAGGCCTGTAAGAATGCAATTTTTTGCATAAAAAAAAAAGTGGACACAACTTTGAATATGACTTGTAAGTGGGGCCCGAACTTTCGTCGAGGGAACAGTGTTTCACTATTTGTTTGGGCCTCCTCTATTTTTTTTTTTTTTCGTGTACATCAAGAGAAACGGAATGAAAAAAAACTGAATTTGACTTTCGATAGAATGTAAGTGATAGCCTGTCAAATAAGTTATGCTTTAAAATTTGCTATACATTGGACATATAATTCAGTATAATCAGCTTTTAAAAAATCAATCAATCTGATGGTGATACCTTCTAACCTTGAAGTGGGGTTCCGTGGCAGTGCAGATTTTTTGTGGATGCGTGTTTTCACGGTTTAGCACCACTTTGTTACAATGAACCACTTTTACAGGGTGTTACATGCTGGATAATACGCATCTATTTGTTTGTTTTGAATAATTCGAAATTTTCAACTTATCTAAATTCAATTTGAAGCCAATTTGAATACTGTTTTTTTTTTAATATTCGAAACATTCGAATCCTTGCTTGCTGACAGCCTGATATGCTGCCCTAAGCCTGAAGTAATATTTCTGCTGTTTTCACTGCATTCATAGAGGATGGCAACTGCAGAAGATCTAGTGAAAAATTCTTTGTTTGCAAAGTCTAAACTCTGCCATTCTGGAGGTTGTGAAGTGTCCAACAAAGTAAGTTTTCGTTAATTGCAAGCCTTTTATTAGGCAGCTCCCAAAATGGGGTCTCAAAGGGTCATGCAGGTATTTCAGCTGCCCTGTTTGTCATTGCCGATTATTTACTAGATGAACACATCAGTGGCAATAGGAAGAGCGGTTTGGCTTTTCGGTCAGCATGGTGGGCTGATATTCTGAATCGTGTACTTATTAGAGGCAGTTAATTCAATAGAGAAGGACCATTGGTAGCCTTCACTCTTTTCGCTTGCGTTCAAGGTTTCTTGCCAGTGCACCCAGAGGAGAGTAGTGTTTATTACTCGGTGCACATTCTCGTCTCTCAACTGGGCATGGGGTTACTCTGTGAGCATGGAACACTCTCCAAAACTGCTGGGGCTCTCCTCTTCCCTGGACATCCCTTCTTTCTTAGGAGTTTCATGGGAACTCGGAGCTAATCTCCCAGAAATGTGACGGCCGTATCACTTTCCGGGAGATGGCATTGAGAACCAACTGTCGGGTTCCCAATTCTTTGCTCCACTGCGTCAGGTTTTGCTGTTAGTACCAGCGCAACGATTCTGAGCAGTGTAATCAAACAGAGTTCTTGCACTTTAAGATGCCACCAGACGTAGTGAAGCTGTTTCACCGAAGCATGCCACTATACGTACACCTACGTGTAACACATTCACCAAATTGCAGCATATTTAAGGATGTGACACTTTTTTTTGTGAAATTTACAGTTTATCTGAAAAGCAAAGAGCAAAGTGATAATGTCTGCGTTCCTGGTGCCACCTCAGGTGTTAAGTAATGCTCATATCAAACTGCTGACAAATGCCATATGTTGTCGTAGCTGCATATATTGTGTAAGACCCCTTAGCTTAATTTTACTGCTGTCTGTCTTTCCTGTTGACACTTTCGTTTTGGAGATATGGTGAAGAGTACGACCGCTTAGATCAATTGTAGTGCAATTGTAGTGCAGTCTGTCTCTCCTGTTGGCGCATTAGTTTCGGAGATATAATGAAATCATTCATTTGCTGCTTCACATTGCTTTAGTGTTGCCCTTTGTAAGGCTGTTTGTCAGAGCTTTAGAAAACGGAAACCTTTTTATGCCTAATGAACTGCCATTCAGTATTCAGAGGAAATTGCAAAAAGAGGAAATGAGAGCCAGGACACCGAAAGTAGGCTGTTAAGGGCAGATGTGTAAACTGAAGGAGTTGCACTACCTTTCAAGAAATTTCATTTTTAATGAAGCTTCTCATAAATGTAACATTATTGGAGTAGCAGTTTTGTCATTGTGATTCAAAGTAGCCGATGAAAAAAAGGGCAGGAAGGGTGCTCAGCCAGCACACGCACACCTTGTTTGCAAATGAGAGTAGCGGCCTGAAGGTTTGTGTGGGGCATCGCAGTGCGTGAAACATTTTTGTGGAGTGAAAGGAATTAACTTTTTGAGGAAAACAACTGAATACATACATGAAAGCTCAAGTTCGCCAACAAAGCCTTTCATGTCAAGAAAATTTATGCACCCTCTCCTTTTGAAATATTCTCTGTGTATTCCAATAATGCCATATGTTGTCTGTAATGTTGCGGCGGACGGAACTAATATATAGAATTATCATATTGTCTGTAACAGTGTGCAGAATTTGTGTTGTGGTATTGTCATACATAGTGTTACAGTCATAATCCACAAAGCATCTTCTCAGTACTACTCTTCAATGCATGCTACAGTTGATGCTCTGTTATGCATGGTGGGTGCATGGCATGAATCAGGCCCTATGGCGACAACAGCTGGCTAACTTTTCCTTTTATGCATTGCCGGCAGCCACTTTTTCTAGCACACTGGCTAATAATGGCTTTTGTTTTCCCTTCCAATCTAATTGGAGATTTGTATTCATTCGCTCTGTAAGCTGTGCAAAGTGAATCCACAAGCTTAAGTAAAAACAAATTGGTACTACCATGAACAATGCTCACGTAATGAATGCACTCGCATAATAAACGCACCCCTAATTTCAGTCATCAGAATTTGCATTTTTGTCCCTCCATGTAATAAATGCACTTTCTACATTCATCCGCTGCAGTCCCACTAACAGACACCTGGGGCCTCCTTACCCCTTGGATCTTTTCTGTTCTTTTATTATTATGCCAATTTTCTTTCTATCTGTGTGCAGCACGTCCCCCGTATTTTTTAATTGTGCGCCACAGCGGGGTTCATGAACACTGCAAGTGTAGAGACTTCGCAGCTGATAAGCATACAGCGAGCGAAGGTCACGAAACTGCCCACGCCAACCGACAGTCATTTCCTGCAAAAACGAAAGTTTAAGGTCCAACGACGTGCACGCGATTTTCAAGCTACCACAACAGGATTTGCTGTTGCTAAAGGTTATTCAAAGCTATCGCGTTACAGGTTTCCAGAAAAAATTGCTTGTCACACAGAAAAGATCGTGATGATTTCCGCAACATGGTAGCACCCCTGATACTTGCCTCACTTGTTTGCCGTGGGTACAGAAACTTCTCGTTGGAAAGTGAGGTGGCGGCCGTATTTTGTCGTTAATCTTGTTATTAACGGCTTGTTTTGATGCTTCAGGGGTCTCTTGCTGCAATGTTGGTTACTTGCTACAACAGAATCATCCCAGTCATCGTGCAACGTTGCCGCAAAGTTGGCAAAGTGCGTCGTTGCGTCGCAGTGCACGTTTCTGGGCGTCTCTTGAGATCGCAGCAGATACCACTCTTGCGGTTAAACGGTGGTGAGAAAAGATGGCTGCAAAACGCTTTTATGGCTTGCGGGGGCGACATGGGGACCGCTTGCAGAAGATATATATAGCTTCTATCAACCTCCAAAGATGAGTAAAGTGCTACAAAGAAGCTGTTTCCAAACAGTGTACGCGTATGCCAATTGCAAAAGGCTAAGCGACCTAACTTTTTTTTGCATTACTGCATTTTTTGCTCATCCCAAAAAAGTTTTATAAAATTTGCCCTGCATAATAAATGCAAACCCAGCTTTGCTCCGATTTTTCGAGAAAAAAAGTGCGTTTATTACGAGAGTAAATATGGTATTTACTTGTGCTAAAATAAATTACACAGCATAAATGGGGTTCTGAAGCAACATACTGTGCTTGAAACACAGTTGTTTGTACTTGCTGGTGCAAAATGTGTGCAGTTGAACCTCATTGCTTTGTAACAAACATAGGCATAACAAATAGCTGTGGGGCATATTGAATATGTGATGCAACTAAGGTATATTTTTTATCGCCATTGTCGAGATATCACTGGTGGGGTACATTATTATTTGTTGTTCCTGGACAGCGTTTTCATGCCCCGCCGCGGTGGTCTAGTGGCTAAGGTACTCGGCTGCTGACCCGCAGGGCGCGGGTTTGAATCCCGGCTGCGGCGGCTGCATTTCTGATGGAGGCGGAAATGTTGTAGGCCCGTGTGCTCAGATTTGGGTGCACGTTAAAGAACCCCAGGTGGTCTAAATTTCCGAAGCCCTCCACTACGGCGTCTCTCATAATCATATAGTGGTTTTGGGACGTTAAACCCCACATATCAATGACAGCGTTTTCATTTTCAGCTTGTGTACTTCAATAGTTCGTGCTTCGTTACTGCTGAATCCTACATCAGGAGTTGAATTAAACAGTTTGTCACTCGTAGTAATAAAAATAATGACTGCTCCTTGGAACAACGTTAAGCTAGGCTTCGTCGCACACAGTTTTCTCATGGGTTTTAGGGACAGGGGACGACTCCGAGTGCATCATCTTAGCTTACAATGGCGCATGGTGCCTCAGTGAATTTTGCTACTTTTTAGCATTTTCAGGCGCGACCTCGGATGGGAGTACAGAAAGTGACTTCATTGGTACAGATGACAACGTCATTGTTTCTGACTGCATCGATGCTGATATTAAGGTTTATGTTGTCGATACCGCGGAAGCAGATTGGTGCGGTTATGAAGACCCTGATGCCACCGTTGAAAATTTTATCGGATTCAAGAACTGTTGTATTCATTCGAATATCCAAAGCATTCGAATATTCGCACAAGCCAGATCACCAGTAGTGTTGAGTGGTCTTGGCAGCAGAAGTAGTGTTGATGTCATACTTTATGGCCAATTGAACTCTACTTGGGCCATGTCAAACACGGGCTGGACGGTGGTGAATGGGCAAGCGAAACGCATTGTCCGCCTCTTCTGGCACAATGAGAACCCAGGGAGCAGTGTCTGAAAAAGTATTCGTTGTTAGATATGGCGCTGCTTATAAAGGGCTCACACAAGACGAGACATGCAGAGTAGGTAGCTTTCTGGTGCGCATGTTCGTGAGAGAGTCTCTGGTTACACTTATTGGCACAAGCAGATTCTCTTGGATAGTTTTGGTTTGTCTGGAATGACAATTAAAAGATGCTCGCTCTGTCACTTTCGTGCTGAGTTGCACAACACCTCAGTTTCCACACCAGTACCACATTGTTGTGGTGGACAAGAGAAAGGCAACAGCTCGGCCATGCATGTCGCTCACAATTGTTGCTCCGGGCATCAGTGCTAACGGAGGTTCCTGTGCAGCCCAGCCTGAGCTGGTGGTGGCACGTTCAGGCTGCCCACTGTACTCGCCTCCCTCAGCAGCCTCCACGCTGAAGCACAGCAAAAGCCGCGGCCTCAAGAAGATCTTCGGCAGGTGAGTCTTGGCTGCTTGTCACCCTTTCTCGAGAAGGCAGTGGCAGCAGTGGCCGTAATAGTAGCAGTATTGGTATTAGTAACCGTAGTAAGTGGTACAGCTCTACCTCGGGAGAGCTGAACAGCACTGAAGAGGCATTATGCCTCTTCATTACTGTGCCTTCATTAGGGTAAAAGGATCTGTAAAAAAAAAAGAGGGAAAAGCAATTTCCTGAAGTTGACAAAGATAAACAGTCACCATATGTTGTGTCTCCAAAAACCTGCGATCGCTTCTCTCACAGTTATTCACACATAGGCTTTGTCACATACATGGCATTATGTTGTGGCAGCAGGTCAGATGTTGCCAGTAGTACATCGTACAATGTTGCAAGGAGCTGTAGTTATGCCAGTTTTAGACCAGCAGGAGTCCCAGTCAATGCATAGCTGCAGCCGAGCATTGCGACAATGTTGGGAGGATGCAGGATGGTTGTCAGCAATATACCTACTTTACATAACTAGTCTAGTGAGTATTGTTGAGCTACTAGGAGTAGACCAGCTCTGTGCACATCAAAGTATTACGATATGTTGCAGCCAAACTTGTGTTTGATGAAAATTTCGGCGTAGCTAAATACTTGATCCAGCAAACTTATTCGTCTCATGAGATCTTTGAAATTCACATCATAACTCTTAGGCCTCTTCCTAGTGTGAGTTGATTCTTTCTGAAATCATATATAAATATTTTGATATTTTATGAGGCCTTGATGTGGAGTGTATGTGGTTGACAGATTGAAAAGCACACAGCTGATTAATGCAGCCACATAACCTAAGTGCTCGTTGGCTTCCAGCAGGGTGCTCAGCTGTAATCAATAATAAACACTTACGGAAGCACTGACACGATTTGAAGACATCACAAAAGAAAATGATTTCGTTTTCTTGATATGCAGCATCAACTATATCCACACACCAGAGTCACACAACGTGTATGAAATATTTATTTTATCTGGAAGTTTTAGTTGCTGAGCATCTGCAACTGGCCCCGCCGCGGTGGTCTAGTGGCTAAGGTACTCGGCTGCTGACCCGCAGGTCGCGGGTTCAAATCCCGGCTGCGGCTGCTGCATTTTCGATGGAGGCGGAAATGTTGTAGGCCCGTGTTCTCAGATTTGGGTGCACGTTAAAGAACCCCAGGTGGTCAAAATTTCCGGAGTCCTCCACTACGGCGTCTCTCATAATCATATGGTGGTTTTGGGACGTTAAACCCCACAAATCAGCATCTGCAACTGAGCTCTGTTGCAGTGGATCATATCCCAACAAGGCAACAGCTCGGCAGTGCTATTATATCTACCAAACAAGTGTCTAATGATATTAGTGAGCTGGCGATCGAAAATAAAATATACAAGGGCGCAGTACTAGCAAACAAATTTAACGAGTACTTTACCTCACTAGTTGACAGTAGTCATAATTGTGATTCATCAGGTTATTTGCCTCCTGCTTTAAATAATTCTGTGTTTGCAAATCCTACAGACGTGCAAGAAGTCATCAGCGTTTTTCAGCATTTCAAACTGAGTAAAAGCGAGGACATAGATGGCTTAAAATTAGAACCTATAATATACATTTTAGATCTCATATGCGCCTGCTTAGTACATATTTATAATCTCGTGTTCACCACTGGGCTGTTTCCTCAGAGAATGAAAAACGCTAAAGTAACGGTTATATATAAGGGTGGGGACAAAAGCAATTTAGGAAACTACAGACCAATTTCGATTTTACCAGTTTTCTCTAAGGGGTGTGAAAAACTTATTTTCATTCCATTATCAAATTTCTTTAATAAACACAACATTATTACGCCATCACAGTTCGGTTTTCAGTCAGGCCTCTCAACCGAAAGTGCTTTACTATACCAAAAGGAATTGATTTTAAGAAATATAGAAGCAAAAAAACTTACCCTAGGAATATTTTTAGATTTCTCGAAAGCTTTCGATAGAATAAACCATGATATTTTGCTAGAAAAACTTCACTGTTATGGAGTTCGCGGTACCGTTTTAGATTTAATAAAAAGCTACTTATCTAATAGGAAACAATGTGTATCAATCAATCGAGAGCTATCATCATCCATGAACGTTAAGAATGGCGCACCTCAAGGTAGCATTTTGGGACCCCTATTATTTAATATTTTTATCAACGATATTGTACGTATTGACAGCTCTGTAGAATATGTAATCTACGCGGACGATACTAGTATATTTTTTTCTGGGGAAACGGCTGATGACCTCATTGTTTTTGCTAATGAAATACTAAATAAAATATATGCCTGGACTGTGGCAAATTCTCTACACATTAATTGCTCTAAAAGCATAGCTGTACTGTTCCGTGCGAAAGCCAGGTCATTTGAAACGTTTCACAAGCTAATAGTTAATAACGTTGAAGTTAAACTTTGTCAAACAGTTAAAACTCTCGGTGTCCATTTTCACGAACACATGGCATGGAATTACCATGCAGAACACATTAGTCACAAACTTTGTAAAGTTCTAGGTGTGTTGCGTCGATGCCAGAACATACTACCTGTGAAACAAAAAATATTAGTGTACAATGCTCTTTTTTTTTCACATTTACACTATTGTCATCTGGTCTGGTCTACAGGCTCTAAAGCATCTCTAAAGAACCTGGTCGTGTTACAAAAAAAGGCCTTGCGGTGCATTGAACGTGTATCCTATAACGCACACACTGCTTCAATATTTGCAAAATATAGAATTTTAAGAATTACCTGTTATTACGAATACCAGCTTTTGTCAGCTTTTAAATCAGAAATACGCAGAGGAAGTATCTTTTTATGCACCTTGGCCACCTTGCAACCAAATCCTGCCAGTCGCGTTACTCGGTGTACGGAAACTTGGCACGTACCTTGTCCTCGCACAAGCTATGGATTTGAGACACTACGTTACCGCTTTCCAAGTGTGATGAACAAATGAAAACTAACAACTGATAATCTGCGTATATTGTCTAAAACTGAAATGTTAAATCGCATGTGCTGATTGTGTTGTAAATGAATGTTGGGTGATTTCTCTAATGGTTATTCAGTTTTTATTCTTTCATGCATTGCTTTGTTATGAATATTTTTGTATGTATTTTAGAGTTGTCATTCTATTATTTGCTGTCATGGGCCACATGCGTGTTTCTTTTTGTATTGTCGCTTTCTGCTGCCTGTAATTTTTGTAATTTTTTGTAAATTTGTAGTTTAGATTTTTTTTTCTGGGTGAAGGGGCCAGTCAAGTTGTGAAATGCAGTTTTTTTTCCTTCGCACAAACCACGTATACAGTGTATTTTCGTGTACTTGTCACGTGGTTGAATAAACTCAAACTCAAACTCAACTCAAGTGAAGACAGTTCTTTAATTTCTAAGCTGTTTGTCCTGTGCACAGCTAAAGTCATAGAAATCGCTGTCCGTGTCACTGGACTACAATTCATTCAGTGTTGTTTATGTGCACCATAAGCAGACGACGGATATCTCGCTAATATGTCGCCGGTTGCTATCTTCACATGACGTCACATTGCTCTGACATGTCACTGAGTAGTAGTCACCCCCTTGATATCTAAACCAAAAGTTTCTTTGTAACATAGCGGTGATAACAATATATTCGATGCATTTCCAAGCACCACAGTAGTCGGCCTAGGTTTCTTGGCATGGTTCTTTTATTTCGAGCAACAATCCCAAAGTTTTTTAAATTCTTGTATCCTTTAATAAGGGTGGCTTGAGTTTCGTAGGTCAGAAGCTGGGGAAGATACATAATTTTTAAAAAGTATTTATCAAGTTTAAAAAGTAATACTCTGTAGTAAGGTAACTTCGCTGATGTTTAGGTAATACATGAAGCTTGTGCACAATGGGATATTGTGCACAATTTGAATCCGACTACCAAATGGAGTGTTCTAATGCTGGATACAGAGGTCTCTTCAAAAAAAAAAAAAACAGTGGATTTTGCAATTTTCTTAACACAATCTGCTGCACTTTCAGTGCCTAAGTTATTTTTATTTTGTAGCATTTCAAACAGGCCACCAGCACATACTTTATTTGTAGCATTTCAAACAGGCCACCAGCACATACTTTATTTGTGCCCTCTGAGCTTGCCATGTTTTCGGGAAAAAAATATCATATTTGGCAACTTGTTTAGTTTTGCTCGTACACCAAGGCCATGAAGAATTGATGTATGTGAGTTAGTCATTACTTTTACAGTTACACCACTTCATTAATTGCTACAAATACCCTTTTATTGAGTGCATTCCTATAACGTATTTTCAGAAAGTTGTTGTTTTATGCCCTCTAGCTTAGTCCAACATTTATAGAACCTCTTCAGTTGCCAAACTTCCCTGCTCTGAAAGGATCACAAAACTTACTTCTAGTCCAGGTGGAGCTGCATCTGCAAGACGGTCTTCGTAGCATTTGTAGCAGACGACGAAGAGCGAGTGAATTGTGCATGCAGCTGTTATCCGTGCAAATATTGAATTGCTTGAAAATGAAATGACGAGAATGACTAGGTTTAATACATTGGTAGGAATGTCTGTCAGGTGTGGGTGATAGCATAAAATTTAAATGTCTTTGTGACACGCCTATGCGCACTAGCACTCTCTGACAAGTTTTAAGCAGCCATGATGCATTTTTCATTGACTAGTACATGCTCTTCCGTCCTTAATGCTCAAAAGTCTATGAAATGACTGCCAACTAGCAGACGGCAAATGAACACTTTTGATATCACTCAAAGTGAGTGCACCACTTACCATATCCACACAGTTGTCAGGATTGCGTGGTGATTTAACAAACTTCCAAACATTTTTTTTCAACCATCCTTCCTCGGTCAGGAATATTTTTTGCAGCTTCAAAGATACCATGGGAGGTTAGGAAAACCTTTCGGCAGACTTTCCCGTGCAAGACTCCACTTCATTATCCTGAGCGTTTTTGACATCTTTTTTCACGGACAACGTGGCTGTAGGTCTTCAAGGTGTTCTCGGTATAAAAATGCACACTGCAAACTCGCAAATTATGCAACAGTCTTTTGTAAAGACGAGAAATAGTGGGAACCCACGCTGCACGCATAGCCGAATCACGTGGAGGCCAGAAATGTCTCGGCCACTTGTTAGTGCTCTAACCGATTGGCATTCAGGCACAAAACAAGTCGGCATTTCAGATGAACAAACATCCACGCTACATAGAACACAACAGCACACCAAATCTCTTCATTTGCGTACTATAAAACGCAGACGCAGCGCAACTGCAGCCAAACTAGCCAAACGCACACTATCCAGTGCACGTTGCTAGACTGGCTGAAGCCTGTTGTGACAACAGCCCCACTTCCAGTCACCACTGCAGTGACGTCGCCCAACGCAGCCAAGTTTTTAAACTGAACAGGTTATAATAAAAGTTGGCTCAGCCGGTAGAAAACTACAGACTCTCATAAATATCGGCAGGAAAATTTTGGTGGTAGAAAAAAAAGTAAGCAGGACAAGTTTAAGACTTCAAGAAACATGTAGAATTTCGGCTTAGAATGGCCCAATAATAACACATTTATGTCACTCAATGTTGAGAAATGTGTGCATGACACAGGAAAAGACTACCTGAGATTTGGTACTGTTATATCTTGACGAGATTGTGGCTTTTAAGCTCACCGGATCGTAAATTTGTGAAGGTATTCAGATTCATTGATAACTTCTTTATTTTACTTATGATTACATGTTATCATTGTCAACGGTAGTTTTCGGCTGCATGTACTCGCACATGGCAATTGCGTATACATGTGTGTTCCATCGAAAAAACATTCACTTTCAAGTCAGCTTGTCCGCGTGCGTCTTGTTTGTCTGCATGTCAGAGCACTCTGTAATTACTTATTATGGATCTTCACCATCTAGGCCAATCAAAAACCTTTATAAATGAAATAAAACTTTGCATGGAATCTTGAGGCAGGGTCACTTAAGCTTTGCTGCCTATCTTGTTGTGCTTATCTTAAGGGGCAGTGTATGTGAGTGCTGTGTGGATTGGATTTGAGTCAGTTTCTTCCTTTCTTGAGTTGCTAGTATGCATTGTGGCTTTTGTCGATGTACAGGTTGAGGCGCAGCAACTCGCACACCATGGACGTGTCGGACAGCTTCCAGCGGGGAGGACTGCGAGCAACTGCAGGGCCACGACTGGGCTGGACACCGGTCACCATGCAGAACAACCACTGCTTGTGAGTGTTCCTGAGGTTAGACTTCATGTCGAGAGGTGCAGAAGAAATGGCCTCTTCAGTCTCTCATCTGTAGGCTACGCCTCCCAAGATTTTCTTCATGCAAGTTAAGGCAACAAACTGAAGATATCCACAGAAATGTTCCCCAGTGTGAAGGCATTATCATATGTGCTCATGTAATGGCCACGGGTTTCTATGCACAATTTAGAGTGAAAGGTGTGGGTTTGGCCATTACACGGAGAACAAGATCAGAAATTTTTTTTCATTTCTGGAAGTACTGCATTACTCGTTTGTACTTGGAGGAGCTTAAGAAAAACTAATCATGGATGTTTTTTTTTCTTTTATTTTTTTTCTCCTCACTTGGAGGCACGTCATTGTATAATGCCGGAAAGAATAGTTTTTCTAGTTCATGAAACACCTGACATTTCTTGCTTTAAAGGAAGGTGCGAGTTACATAATTTGCATAATGTAACTTTGCAGTCCCTTCGCCTTGCATGGCCCCGTCTTTTTTATCTGTGCGCGACAACAGGGTTCATGAACAGTGCAAGTGAAGAGACTTTGCAGCTGATAAACACTCAGCGAGCGAAGGTCACAAAACTGCCCACGCCAATTGAAGGTTGCTTCCTGCAAATACGAAACTTTAAGGCTCAACGACATGCATGCGATTTTCAAGCGACGACAACAGCATTTGCTTTCGCTAAAGGTTATTCGTCACATACGCATCGCAGGTTTATGGACAATCAGAAAAAATTGCTTGTCATCCAGAAAAGATTGTGACGATTTCCCCAGTATGGGAGCATTCTTAATTCTCGCTTTGCTTGGTCTCTGGGCATACAGAAACTTCTCATGTGGAAGCGAGGCGACAGTTGTATTTTGTCGTTAATCTTGTTATCGACGGTTTGTTTTGATGCTTCGGGGATCACTTGCTACAATGGTGGTTATTTGCTACAATGTGGACGGGTTCATCGCAGTCGTCGTGCGATGTTGCCACGAAGTTGGCAAAGTGCGTCGTAGTATCGTAGTGCATGCTTATGGGCGCCCCTCGAGATCACAGCAGATACCACACTTGCAGTTAAACAATTGCGAGAAAAGATAGCTGCAAAACACTTTTATGGTGTGTGCGGGGGACGCGGGGACAGCTTGCAGAAGATAGCGCAACCAACCACTAAAGATGAGTAAATTGCAACAATGAAGCTGTTTCCAAACATTGTAGGCGTATGTCAAATGCTAAAAGCTTTTTTTTTGTATCACCATATTTACTCTATTCTAAGCACCCCCTTTCTTTCACGATCGCGATATAAACGTTAGGGGGGTGCTTAGATTCGAAAAATTGAAAAATGACCGCACAGCTTCACCCCCTTTTGCAACAACATATCAACGAGGTTGACATGAGAAATCGTATTTGAATTTAAAAAAGAAATGAAAAGAAAAATAGGTTCACACAGTCAACCCACCACTTGTGATGACGTCAGTCACTATCACTGCCGCTCATGTCCGTCGCACCCCTCGAGTCTGTCGCATCATTCGAGCCATCACTTTCTATGTCCCACAACAGATCGTCTTCAGTGCAGTTCAAGTTCTTCGTGATGCAACATTTCTTAAACGACTTTGCGACGTCGACTTTGATTTGTTTCGATGCGTTTGAAATCTATGTTGACATGGTGGATGGGGACGCTTTCTGCAACTTTCCCATATGCGTTTAAACGTTTTTGGTCGGGCTTTTAGATCCACTCTTTGTACTCATGTCGAAGGAGGGCCTTGAATGACTTGTTTACCAAGACGTCCAGGGGTTGCAGCACTGGTGTCATTCCTCCTGGAATCACGACCAAGTCGCAGTTGCTCTTTAGCAGCTCGGTCTTCACACTCGGTGTGAGATGGCCGCGAAAAGCATCTAGGATAAGCATAGACTGCGTACCTGAAGTTCCCCAGGCAGTGCCCCAGAGTGTTGCTGCCATGCCACCGGAATGCAATCTTTCATTAACTTGGCTGTCATCCATTCTTTCTCATGGACTCGGACGATGACATCCTTCGGAAAACACTCATTTTTTGGCATATTTTTTTCCCTTCAGAATTATGTAGAGCAGAAGCTTGCGGCCGTCAGTTGTAATGCAGAGCATAACTGTGACACGGTGCTTCTCGTACTCTGTCATCTTCAGCCTCACTTCCCGGGCTCCTCTCTCTTTAACGGTGCTTGCTCTCGGCATATTGAAAAAAACGGGCATCTCACTACGTTGCCGATCTGGCCAAAATCGTAGCTGTTGAGTCTGCGAAGATTCAGTACATGTTGCTGAAAAGCAACGAGTTTGTTATTGAAATTGCTTGGCAGCTTTTGGCATATCGTGGTTCTGCGTCTCAAAGAAAATCTATTCCTTCACATTGTGCACTCCACCCAGGCACGGCTAGGACAGAACACGGCTTGGGGAATCTCCATTCTCCTCGCGATCTCCATCGCCTTCGTCTGAAGGGTATCGGCAGTAACAGCGAAGCCCCTGTTTCTTTTGCTGCAAACAAACTTGCAGACTTCTTCTTCGAGTTCCAGGTGTCGGCCCTTGCGCGGTCCCGTGAACTTCTTGCGAGTCCAGGCGTCCTTGAGAATCTGGTCCCGCTGCTTCCTCCACCTGGTGATACAGGCTCAGTCCATGCCGATTTCTACAGCAGCACTGTGGTTGCCATTGTACTCAGCAAACGCGATTGCAGCTCGCTTAAACTACAAGTTGTAGAATGCCCGCTCACTCTGAATGTTGTCACGGCTATCAAAAAAATTTATAAAGAAACGTGCGCACGCCAACCGCCAGCGCAACCTGTCCGGACTCGCGGATTGGATTGGCCGTCGACTCTTGTGCCTCCATCTCTAGTGTAAACCTAGCAACATACGGCATGGCGGCTTCCGAGATTAGCGACGAGAGGGCGCGCTTGGTGGCCTTGACTGCGCCATGTTCGCAGAAAGGAGAAAAAAAATGGGAGGGGTGCTTAGATTCGCAAGCAAACTTTTTTTCAAAATATTTATAGTGAAAACGGGGAGGGGGGGGGTGCTTAGAATCTCGTAAACACGGTATACTGCATTTTTTGCTCATACTAAAAAACTTTTCATAAAATTTGTCCTGCATAATAACCGCATCCCAAACTTTGCTTCTATTTTTCTAGAAAAAAGGTGCGTTCATTACACGAGTAAATACGGGGTCCTGTATATAGCTGTATATAGCTGTATATAGTATGGTGTCCTGTATATAGCCTGTATATAGGCTTTCATTTTTAACAGAGTTTTCTGTGCGGCTTATACACAGGTGTCGCTCATTGCACAAGTATACACGCCATTGCTCACCAGATGTCAAGTCTATGTTCAGACGTCAGTTGTAAAAGATAGTTCTCTCCTCTCTGCAGCTGGGCTAGCTAGTCTCAAGATTCTGCAAGTACTTGGCGCAGCCTAATGAGCCATCAGAAAATGATGCTAAGGGAGGCATACAGGGCGTTGCATGTAGTACTATAGTAACTGTGACTAAATTGAAAGCAATTAAACTGGATTAAAACATGGATTTGCCCCCAGGTAGGGATTGAACCATTGGGTGGCTCATGTGGTGCTCTACTAATTGAGTAGCTGCAGTGGCAGTTGCTTTCCCATTGGTCATTTATGTTTGTGTAATCACGGCAGTGCTAGCCAGCACCGCTTGCAGCCGTGCCGCTGAGTTTGGATTAGTCTTTTTGTTGGCCATTGGCACCACGTAGCGCATGCTCTTATTACGAGCTAGAAGCCGACGGATAAGCCCTTGTATAGTGCCCAAGGTCTGCAGGAATGAGACCCTTGCTGTGAATGCACAAAAGAGGGGGCATTGCTCAATGGCTTGTTTTCTTTTTGTTGTTGGACACAGCTTAATTAAAGCAACAGGCAAGGAAGCTTAATGGCCGATGCTTTATCAGGAACATACTGTTTGATTGGACTGCATCTGAATTGTGCTCGGAAGATTGGGCAGATTGTATAGGTTTGTCGTTGTAGGTTGCATAGCACAACTCAGTGACGGGACAGAGGAAAGATACATCCACAGCAGAGGGCTCTTTTGTGTGTATCTTTTATGTGTACCATTGGTTGGTTGCACTATACCATCTATAGTCGTGCTTTATCAATACGACCACTCTTGAGCCTTTGGTTTATGATCAGCTTGCATTTTGCGGCTCATGACTGAGGTTTCTGAGACTTCCTTTTGTTATCCCTGTGTTCTAGTCTCATTGATGCTGAAAAGTCGTTCTTAGTTTTGTGCACTACCGCTCCTTGACAAATCTCGGTGTATGTGGATGGATTGATTGAGTCATCGGTCTACCTGCTGTTGCAGCACGGACAAGCCCGTAAGTGAGTGGGGTCCCGACATGATAGCCCAATGGCTGGAGCGGCTCGGCCTGGCTGTATACGGGGACAGCAGCAAGCCCTTCCTGCGAGATGGGAGCCGCCTCCTCAAGGTCACAGCCTCCGAACTTGAGAAGGTACGGCACTCTCTCGCCACACATGTCATCATCTTCATTTATTTTTTACCCTTAAGTGCTCCTCATGGGGCATTACATAAGGTGGGGGGGGGTGTAATAATAAGTAACTCCCGGTCACACACAAGGAGGCATAAATACTGCTAGGAAAAACAAAGCAGAAGCACAAGAAAAAACAAGAAGAAAGAATTAAAAAGAAGAAAATAAGAAAAGTAGGAGGCAAATAAACTTGCAAATAACAGGGCTGCTATTCGGCCTGCTGACAGTTATGTGGCAACAAGAAATCTTTAAATTTAACATACTTTCTTTCAGTAACAATATCGTCGGGAAGTGCATTCCAATATGATATGGCAGTCGATAGAAATGATTTGTTAAAGGCGTTAGTCGAACCGTGGATGCGTTGAACACTGTGACAATCAAAGAGACGTCGTGATATTTCATGGGAGGTATAATTAGGCTCGCGCGTAGCTAAGGGAAGTTATAATACAGCTTATGAAAAAGTCAAAGACTTGCTATTTTGCAAAGGGATGCCAGGGGAAGTTTAGACCAATCGAAGTTTTTATGCTAGTGACACTTAGTCTAAGATCATATTTTGAACTTATAAAACGAATAGCTCGGTTTTGTATTGCCTCTAACTCCTGAATTAAGTACTCTTGATGGGTGTTCCAGATAGGTGACGCATATTCAAGTTTGGTGCGTATGAAGGTTTTGTAAGCCATTTGTCTAACTGTGGGTGATGCAAATATAAGTGACCGTCTGATGAAACCTTATGAACTGGAAACGCTTGCAGAAAGTGATGTGATGTGTTAAGACCAACTTAAAATGTTTGTGATTTCTACGCCGACATACCTATAAAATTTCACCTGTGCTAGCATGAAGTTGTTTATCGTGTATAGGAAGTGTAGGTGATGTTTCTTACGGGTGACGTGCATAAACTTACATTTCGATACATTCAACTGCATGAGCCAGGTCGAGCACCAGTTTTGGATTAAGGTTAAATCATCCTGCAGTAACGCCTGATCGTTAGTAGTGGAGATACGTCGGTACAGAACGCAGTTATCCGCAAACAAATGGATGGTTGATTAAATTTGAGCAGGAAGGTCATTGATGAAGATTAGGAACAGAAACGGGCCAAGAACGTAGCCCTGTGGGACTCCGAAGACAACATTTGTAGCTACAGGTGGATGGTCTTCAATGACGGTGTAATGGGAGCGATAAGTTAAAAAGCAGTGAATCTATGACAATATCAGGGGATCGATTGAAAGGCAAGAAAGTTTAGTCTTGAGACGCCGGTGAGGAACGCAGTCAAACGCCTTAGAAAAATAGATGTAAATGACATCGGTCACAAAAGATGAGTCTAGGTTTAAGTCCAAGTCAGTCGTGAATTCGACAAGTTGAGATTCACACGAATAGCCAAATTGAAATCTGTGTTGGTTTTGAAAGAAAAATGAATTTTAGTTCAGGTGCTTTGCCAGGTGAAAGTAGCAAAAATGCTCAACAGGTTAACATGCAATACATGTTAGTGAGATAGAACAGTAGTTAGATGCATCAGAGTGGCTTCCTGCCTTGTAGACGGGTACAACTCTGCTAACCTTCCACTCGGACGTGCTTTCGCTACTGGAAATAGATTTTGTGAAAATTATTTGTAGGACGTGACTAGACAGTAGTTTTGTACCTTTAAGAATTTTAGCAGATATATTGTCAGGTCCAGTGGCACTAGATATCTGTAAGTTGTCAATCAACTTACAGATTACTTCTGCCGTAATACTAACTGGAAGCATTTGAGAAAAATTTGGATCATGTGGTACAGGAATACTTTCAACCGCTTCGTGGGTGAAAGCTGAGGTGAAGTAGGCATTCATAACGTTAGAACGAAAATCCTTCGGAATGACAGAACCATCTTGATTTACTAAAGAGATCTTATGGGGGCGAGACACTGTGGTAGGGAGTTAATAAAGTCCAAAACCTTTTTGGATTAGTTCGGAGGATGTCAAATAAGTCTGTGTGAAGCGCCGTTTAGTGCTCTTCAGCTGTTTAGTATATTCATTCAGACATTCGAAGTATTTTTCCCGTTTAGTTGCAGAAAAGGAGCGCTTCGCTTCCCTGAATGGTCGCTTTTTATTGTTGAACAATCTTTCCTAATGAATTTGTAAACCATGGTTTCCCGGCATCATCATGAATGCAAACTAAAGGTACATATGATTATATTAACAAGATAATTTTTTTATATACAGACCAATTTTCATCTACAAACCTGTAAGGAGCCGATTGTTCAAAGTGTTGACAAAATACTGCCATTTCTTCATTGGTTCTGAAAAAGTCTGCTTTATTGCAGTCACAAATGTACTTTACTGAACGCTGTCGTGAAAGAATTGAAATTGCAAGGCTGAAAATTACTAAATTATGGTCACTAAGACGATCAGTAGATGATTATGATTGGGTCAGCTCAGGATTCGACACAAGGACGAGATCAAGAGTGTTACTACCATGAGTTGGTATTTCAACAGATTGAGCAAGATTGAAAGAAAGAACAAGATCCAAAAAATCTCTGGAATGACGCGAAGGTGCATTGATATTGACCCAATCGATGGCTGGAAAGTTAAAATAGACCGCAAACTATGAGGTTAGCTCTGAAAAACTGTTTCTGCACATCAAGTAGAATGCAACTGAGGTCTTCAATGAAGGAGTGATCAGTGATTATAGTGGTGCAATTAGCAAATCAAATGTTCACACAAGGAATTTCGCTTTTACTCACAATTCGGACAGAAGAAGAAATCAGGGTACCCTTAACAAGAACCATCACGCCACCTCCCCTGCGATCAAGTATGTCACGCCGAAAAAAAGTGAACGATTGATTATCTTGCAAAAGTTCGTCATTCCGTATATCAGCTGTGAACCAAGTTTCAGTAAATATGGTAATGTCAGTGCCGTTATGTTTCAATACAGCTTCGACAGTGTCTTTTTTTGGGAAGTAACTTCATATATTAGTAAGTAAAACAGATACTGATGTATCTCTTGAGGCAGGGGTTTTAAGCATGGTAGTTCCCAAAGACTGTCGTACCAAAAACATGGGTAACTGTTGTGAACGCTATGAACTAAGCTCGACAACGGAATCAGTTCCAGCATCATAAACAAACTGTTTGTTGCTCATAATGAGCTTGTCAAAGCGGTATTTAAAGGAAGTAGAACTGTGTTGCCCAAATGAAAAAAAGTTTCTCTCTTGCCAAGCGCACACGCACGAAATAATCTTCCTGGATCGAAAAAGGCGAGTTTTTTAGTTTTGAAGCAACGGACAAATTCGCCTTTTAATCTTTGAATCTCATGAATATCACAATTATTGGGCTTTTTTTTTTCTGACTGAAAATGTCCAAGTCTGTGTGCTCGCTCAATATCTTCACTTCTAATCATGATGTCGAGCTCCTGAGAGCAAGCAGTATGAAAGGATTCGCGACTCAGACTGTGACCAGGATTTATCCTGCTTATGGATAAAACCAAAAAACAGAGAATTCGAGCTTCTAGACGATTCTCAGCATCGTTGCACTTTACCCTGATACCCTGATATCTGAGTTAAGTTTATCAGTGGTTGAGTCGGCTACAGAGCTTGGGCTACTTAACTGATTTATTTGTGCTATTTTTTAAAGGGGGCGTCGACTCGAGAAGAAAGATTAGAAATTGATTCCTCAACATTTGACTGAGCAGTGCGAATCAGCGCAAGTTTGCTTCGCACAGTTTTTTGCGAGCTATCAATGCGCGATATGGCTATAGCGATAGACTCAAGCGAAGGCTGAGGGGTACTATTTCCTTTCGGTCCAGGATTCAATTCAACGTCCCCCGCTAATACCAGCAGAAGGTAAACGACATAGGCATTGATACACTGGTAGCAAATAATTGGCAATAATTTCCATCCGGTACCAATCAATGGTGTTAGTGAGGCACGACACCGCAAGCAGAAATGCATTGTCGGAGCAAATGCAGGTCGAATTAGGCAAGTAACCAACCTGCATGAGGACGAAAGGCATTTTCGTGTCCAGCATAGGTGCGGTGGCATGCCCCAAGTGTTTGTAGCGCGTAGGCTGTACTTGTAGTCCCTCTGATGCGGCTGCGCAGAGCGTTTCACTTGGATGCCAGACGTGGAAACAATCGGGGGTTTAAGGCACCGGTAAGGCACGGCATTGCTTGCGTTGACCAAGCCGGTGGGTTGTCGCCAAACATCTCGTTGGAAGACCAGGTCTTAACCACTGCCTCGGAAGAACAAGGGCGTCGATGCAGTAATTCAGAGTAGGGCAGCCTGCATGAGGACAAAAGCCATTTTCGTGACCAGCATAGGTGAGGTGGCATGCCCCAAGTGCTTGTAGCGCATAGGCTGTATTTGTAGTCCCTCTGATGTGGCTGCGCAGAGCGTTTCACTTGGATGCCAGACTTGGAAATGATTGGGGGTTGAAGGCAGTGATTAAGGCACGACATTGCTTGCGTTGACCAAGCCGATAGGTTGTTGCCAAACATCTCGTTGGAAGGCCAGGTCGCAATCACTGCCTCTGAAGAACAAGGGCGTCAATGCAGTGATCCAGATTAGGGCAGCCAGCATGGTGACGAAAGGCATTTTTGTGACCACCATAAGTGCGGTGGCATGCCCCAAGTGCTTGTAGCGCGTAGGCTGTATTTGTAGTCCCTCCGGTGCGACTGCGCAGAACGTTTCACTTGTATGCCAGACGTGGAAATGATCGGGGGTTGAGGGCACAGCATTGCTTGCATTGACCTAGCCGGTGGGTTGTCGCCAAACATCTCGTTGGAAGACCAGGTCGCAACTCTTGCCTCGAAAGAACAAGGGCGTCGATGCAGTGATTCAGATTAGGGCAGCTAGCATGATGACAAAAGGCCTTTTTGTGACCACCATAAGTGCGGTGGCATGCCTCAAGTGCTTGTAGCGAAGGCTGTATTTGTAGTCCCCCTGGTGCGGCTGCGCAGAACGTTTCACTTGTATGCCAGACGTGGTAACGATCGGGGGTTGAGGGAACAGCATTGCTTGCATTGACCTAGCCGGTGAGTTGTCGCCAAACATCTCGTTGGAAGACCAGGTCGCAATCCTTGCCTCGGAAGAACAAGGGTGTATATGCAGTGATCCAGAGTAGGGCAGCCTGCATGAGGACAAAAGGTATTTTCGTGACCAGCATAGGTGCGGTGGCATGACATGTCTGTGAACACGTTTGTCTGGCAGTTCGAGCTTCTACGTAGATGCTGCTATTTCGAGTAAATGTGAGGCACTTGACTTCTGTCTATTCAGCCCCTGAAGAAATTGACAAAAGTGGTTGAGCTACTACCGGTCTGGTTCAATTAAGGCATAGAACAACAAAAAATTCTAGCTCAACTGGCACTATTTGTTCCTTGGTAACATGTTGCCAAATCGAGTACGCACCCATGTTGTATGGGTTGAAAAGATGAAAACAAATGCAGGAAGTGAATAGACAGCCGATCTTCTGGCAAAAGAAAAAAAGAAAAACAAGCTGTTCATTTACATTTCTGGCAGCAAGGGAAAGACGATGCCCACGACATTTATTTTTACAAAGCGAAACTTTATTTGTTTAGTACCACAAAAGAGTATTCTTAGGCGGCAGATTATAATTGGAGGCGTCTTATAACCGGCAATATACGGCGGTTGGTGAATTTTCGCGATGGTGCTTTTCTTTTGTTAGAACATGATCAGGTGTGTACTGACAAGGTCGATGGCAGTGCCAGTGGCTAACGCATGTCGCATTTTTCGCTCTTAAAAGATGCGATAAGCACTTAGAACATTAGTTACTAGTGTACCGTAGCGGCATTTGCTGTCTAGAAAATATGGATTTCTCATAAAACACTAATTTTAACGGGAACACGTTTCTGTCTTGAAGTTGTGTCATCCCTCCAATATCTGTTGCTGTCAGCGGCCCGACGGCCACTTGGCATTGTCACTTTATCTGGTCGATCATGTCTCGCAAGTTTCCTCACCTTAATATCTTGCACCATGATCACGCTGCTACTGCTAAGTCTATTACTGCAGTCGCTATTAGATTTTAGCTAGTGTATCATTGCTCACCTAGTTCCAATGTCAAAATCATGATAGCTTTTGTTGAGATCAAAGTTAACAGAGTTGTGTCGTTGGAATTGCAGTTTAATGCCATTTCTTGCTGTACGAACCGCTGAATCAATGTAGCTTGGTACTCGACACTTGCCATAATGAGGAAGAATCCTTGTAATGTATTCCGGTTCACCTCCTGCATCTGTCTCTTTGGGGCCCAGTGCCAGTGCCGAGGAAGTTAGAGGAAGACCTGTGTTGTCACTGAGGCTGCATCTTTTACCACAGTCTGGGCATTGAGTGTTAGCAAGGAAGCTGTCACCTGGTGACACTGTGCAGGAGCTGGGCATGCGGCACCCGTTGCACCGCAAGAAGCTTCTGCTGGCCGTCGATTGTTTGAGGCCAGAAGCGAGTGATCTGAGTCGAGCAGCGGCTGCGTTGGATGCAGCGTGGGTGCTGCGCTGGCTCGACGATGTCGGCCTACCGCAGTACAAGGATGCCTTTGCCGAGGCACTCGTCGATGGAGCCATGCTGAACGCCCTCACTGTGGTACGTACTGTACTCATTGGTAGAGCTTACACAGTCCAGCTTCATTTGGTCATGGACATTTAAAGCAAGTTCACACAAGAATGCACACTATGCGTCAGAATTATAAACTTGCTCATAGCATTCACATAGATGGCGGGTGGCTTAAGCAGCATGCAAGATTTGCATTTGCCAACACGCACGCAACTTCGCCACTGCATATTTGGAAGCCCGCCATGTGTTGCATTGTGGTGCCACAATGTATAGAGGCTACTCTAAAAGAAAAGCTCCTTCCTCAAAGGGCACATGCATTAAGAGCACAGGGGTGCTGTCATTACATTAGTGTGTGAGCGTTATCAGGCCCTGACATGCTAGCTACACTAGACGGCAGTATTTAGTCCACAATGAAATCACTGAAAGGGACCTCACGTAAAATATGGTTGTATGTATGCGTCAACAAAGAGCGCAGGCGACGACGCAGTGCCATTTGCAATTCGATAAGAAGAGGCCACCATCTTGTAGTCGGATGGACATGAGGGCACTTTCTCACAAGAGTGCCTGCAATAGTGTCTTCTTACGCTGCTTGGCTTGTGCACAGTAGATTGCCTAAATAGCAATCCTAAGATATTTCTAATGAATAATATACACTGCCCGCATGCTTCTTGTTTGTTGAAATGTCTGTCTTTGGATTATACATAATTATTATTAACTTTAATAAGCTTTAATAAGCAGTTCACGCAGTTCTTGGGTTGTCTAGGAAACAATTTTTTTACTGCTGCACTAAATGTTTTATATTACAATGTACAGTCTCAATTTGTAGCAGGAGTATTGTGCTTTTGAAGGGTATTATTTGCAAGCTAACATTTATTTAAAAAATTTTAAAAGAAATACCTGACAAAAAAAATTTGTAACAAATACCAGAAAACTCCGTAAAACTATTGATGCTGCTTTGCACCAGCGCAACCTAAATAAATTTCCATATAAACTACATCTCAAAGAAGAAGGCTGTGTATGACATTACTACAAATATAAAGTTTCTGTCTGTAAAAGTTAACATTGTACAAAAAAAAAAATGTTAGCCATTGTGGCTATTGTGCCACCGCGCAAAGCATTTGTGTGACGTGGTGAAGCACAAGCTTGCATAGCATGTCTCGCAAAAAAGTTCGTTCCTTGTTCAACTTTTCATCCTTGATAGCACAGTTTGCAGCTTCTGTATTTTTCTAGCTTCTGCATTGAACTGTGTAACCAGATTTAGAGTCAGACAGAACCCACAATTTATATCCTCATTTGATAACTTAGTCTCGCATGTACTGCCGAATTCCAGATCGGCCTTTAGATTTTACCATTCTCCTGTGAACTGAGAGGCTCTGATAAGGTTAGAAAAATTGAGCGGATGAGACGTTGATGTGCTTCAGAAGTGAAGCTGCGCGATGCAGCTTGCCATGAGATGCAACAGTTGTCTTCTCGAGGTCGAACACACTGCAGGTGGTGCTTCGAATGGATTTATTGGCATTACCAAAGGTGGAATGAGACTAGAAAATAATTTCTGTATGTTCCAATAGCAGTGCAAGCGCGGCACTTGCAGGATACCCAGGTAAATGAGAAGACAGGTAGACTTCTCTATCTCTTCAGGAGTCACTTCTTTCCATGATCTGGCTCTCTCACTGTATGACTGTTTCTCCAAAATATGCATCCACACATATTTATTAGTCATGTTGCATCTCTGTGCGATTATTTCTATTGTGAGAAACTGTGTAGAGAAGTCCACAGCTCTTACAAAGCGCCGCGTGGCACTGTGGAGCATGATGCCGAGGTCAACTCTCGGCCGTCTTTTCAAGCAAAAGTCCGCTCTTTGTGCTGCCGCTGACAAGTGATCCTGTCCAAACGACAATGACACCCTGCGGATAAGAATCGCTACCTTTAGAACTAGGGCCCCTAACTTTATGCGGTGGAAAATTTGGAATTCTGCAATTCGAGATAGAGAAATCTGTGAAGTTCCGCGGCAACTCTAAACATGCAAAATTCTGTGGCAATAATGAACAAATGCAAGAAGGCACACGTAACAGCTTATTTATCACACTTTCAGGCTCGCAACATGCCTGCAATAATTAAAATTGGAGAAAGCTGTTGTGGCACAGCATCAGATGGTGCTTGGTGCTCTCTTCACTTAGAGAGTGACGCTTGTGGGAGACAATGTCACCATAGCGACTAAATAATCTCTCTGCATCAACAGAGTTGATTGGTATTGCCAAGTATTTCAAGAGGATTGATGAAAGGGTTGGAGTAAGCTGCTCCATCCTTGCCCAGAAAGCCAGGATATCAAAGTCTACTCCTGGATTTTGTTGCTTGGACACAAATGATGGAGCCAGGTCCCTGTCACTGGTCTTCAGTTCTTGTGCAGTCTTCAGGTAAATCTGCCATTCGGCAGCTAGAGCAAGTGATTCTTCTGCAAGCTGAGGCACGCTTGTCAACTCTGTCCTCTTCTGTGGAAGACACCAAACTTGCAGAGGATCCAAGCACCTAACATCTTTGAAGAATTGACGTGTATTAGACTTCTCCAAGTATACCTGTGCTTTGTTAGCCGCTTTGGTCATTGCAACCTTCATCTTGCTTTCAATTTGATTGGGCTCATTATGTGAAACATTTTCTCTCTTCAGCTGCGTTGCAAAATCCTCCTTTGAAGCTGCTTCAAGGTACCCCCAAAGTGTAAACAATGCATTGTACGCTTTGTGGCAGGCTACGCACTGACCTTCTGCTGCTTTTAGCAAGCTGGAAACTTTTTTCCCAAATACTGCAATGCACCACATGCTCTACCTGAGCTCAGTCGAGTCTTCACTAAGCAGTTTCAGAAGAGAATCAACACACGCTGCTTCACTATACTTCTGGTGAACTTGCTGAAGCAATGAAGGATAGTGCTAGAAGTAGGCAGAATGTTGTTTTACAGCCTCAATTCATGAATTCCACTTGCTTTGGACAGGTGCTGGCGGTGCTTTGGCATACTGAACTCCGCACTCTTCCAGATGCGATTTGTAGAAAGCTCTCTTTCTGCTCGACAGGCAGAAGGCCTTCTTCATACAAGCGACAAACTTGTCCACTAAGGGAAAAGATGCCTGCAGTGTGCTACCAACAATGTTCACTGTGTGGGCTACACACGTAATGTGCACAGCACCTTCACAAAGTGGCTTTATGCACTCCTTAAAGGACTTCACCATGTAAGTGGCGTTATCACTAACAAAGCCCGATACATCCTCAAATTCAACTCCATACCTCGTGAGTGTTCTTGTCACGATGCGTCCGATGACGGTTGAGTTCACTTCATCCACGAATTTCACTTCCACGAGTACAGGTTGTAGTGCAGCATTCCCCGTTCTGGCCGACTGAACGAACAACACGTTCACAACCGATTTTGATCGGTCGTCGATGGTTTCGTCTATAATTACAGAAACTGTGGTGCCTTGAAACATAGCTATAAAATTTGCCTCATGCTTCTCGAACAATTCTGGAAGTCGTCGGCGGAGCGCGTCAGATCCAGACACCGATCCGCCATTCCGAACGTGTGCCTGCAGGAACGTTCTCAGTTTCGAATTGTCCACCTTTTCAAGGGAAATATTTGCAGATATCAATGCATCCAAGAACTTGAGCACAACATTGTTCCTCACTTCACTAGCGGTGATTGCGGATTTCAGCGTTTGCAGTCTACTTTGCTTTCTCGGCGCTCCTGAACCTCCGGCTCCATCTTCCGATGGTTCTTCGCCACTTTTTCGCTTAGAGGAGTTTCTTGTTCCGACATTCTTGTGATGACGATTGCTTTCGATGTGCTCGTCAATAGTTGATTTGCGGCGATGGTCAACTGCTCTTGCGCAAGCCCGGCAGAAAAGCACACCTCCATCTTAGTAAAACTCATCGTGCTTGTATTCTCGAGTGCGTTCTCTGGCAGCCTTTTTACTTAAATGTGACCCTGAAGGCGCCATGTCTATTCACGCATCGATCTTCAATCAAAGCTGTGGTGGCTAGAACGACCAAAGCAAACAAGAACAAGGCACACGGCACACGTGCAGTCGCAAAAGCGAGTACGTTGGATCGATGGGTGACTACGGCTACTTACGGCTACCGTTAAGCCTTGTTATCAGTGGCGGCTCAAATTTTTCCTACTGCTAAAAGACGATGAAGCAACCTGAATAATTTTTCTAATAACTAATAAAGTATAGGAGCGCATTGATTCGCCGACATCTAACGCGAACTTTTCTTTTCTTTTGTGGAAAAAAAAAAAGAGTACGAAGAGATTGCCTCCGCGTTTCCATCGAGTACGAAACCGAAACCGCCTTCGCAACAGCGCGTTGCGAGCAAGGAGAGTGGTTGCGAGCATGGTTGCAAGTTCGTCACACAGCCCCATTTCGCGCTAGACTAGTCATATCTGTTCTCAAAGAAGTGCCTCGCCCATTTTATAATCAAAGCTCATACCAAAAACAAAAGTTATTTCACACGCTACAGCGATGTCGATATTTTATTGCGCGCCCGAAAACCTCTTAGCTGGCATTGCAAACAAACTAAGGACTTTTCGCATTCCCGCGAAGAAAAAAACGTTAATTCTATGATTTTTAGCGGAATCGACCTGTTTTTCATATTTCTGTGGAAAAACGTAAATTCCGTGATTTTTCGCAGAATTGCGGAATCGCGGAAAGCTAGGGGCCTTATTTAGAAGACACCTGATGCCTTTAGATCTGATGGCCGCCATAATGAAATGGTTTGTAGTAGAAAACAGAACTTACCGGTGGTTACCTGTCGACGTTCCAGGGCTCTTGATGCACTTTCACCATCTGTGCTAAGGTCTGATGAATAAAAGTAATCTCCCATGTCTCCGCTGCTATCACCTTCACAAAATTCACATTCAGACTCATCAGAATCCGTAAAAGTTTGATGTTTCCAAGGGGCAGTTACGTATGACATCGATGCCATGTCAAAAACTACAAGTGCTTCAAGTGCAATTAAAAGGTTCTTTAAGCATCCCCTTAAGGCAAAAAAGG